ACATACTTACATACATACATACATACAAACATACATACAAACATTCATACATACATACATACATACATACATACATACATACATACATACATACATACATACATACATACATACATACATACATACATACACATACACGTACATATACCTACATATGTATATATATACGTATGCACAATATTGCATTGGTGCTTCGGGCAATGCACCTTGGTCCCTTAAGACTCGCGTCTGTTGGCACTTGGCGCCGTCCCCTTTGGCCTTTGAGCTGGGCCGTTGCCCTTCCAGTCCCCTTCGCCCGTTCCTATTTCCTTGTGCCCTCGCTTTGCAAATCCTGGCGCCACCCGAACCTTTCTTGGGGTGCGTTTTGATTCCAGCTTCGAGGCGGACCCGATCACGTGGCGCGAGAAGGCCACCCGGAGGCTCCGAAAGGGCGTCGAACCCAAATCGCGTGCCTTCTTGGCGCGATCCTGCGCCGGCTGGTGTTTCAACGGCTTGCGCGTCGGTTTTTGAGACCGCTCGGATCGTTCAGCCGTGAACCATCGCGCATTCCCGTTCAACGCCGGCCGAGTCCTCACCACTAACCGCGTTCATTCCGAACGCCCGTGCCGGGGTCGCCGCCGCGTCGGCAACGCAAACCGACCGCTGTGCAGGAACAGCCGTTTCCGGGGGGGGATTACCCCGAGATCTGCCACAGGTCTTTTTGCAGAGGTTCCTCGTTAGAGAATTTTTTTTGGGGCCTCACGAATGCCGCTCGACGGCTTTTGCGACCTCTGGAGGCCTCCTGGGCGCCTCTTTGGGCCGTCTTGGGGGTCCTTTTGAAGCCCGTGTGGGCCGTCTTGGGTTTCTTGGGCCGTCTTGGGGCCTTCTTGTGGAACTTGGGCCCTCTTGGGGACCTCCCATGGCCGTCGTGGGTCTCTTTGGGGAGCATTTGGGGGCCTCCTCGTGAGCTTTTGTTGGGCTGTTTTGGGCCAGTCTTGGGTTTTTTACCCCGGTTCGAAGCCCTCTTGGGGGCCTCTTGGGCCGCCGTGGGGCGATCTCGTAGGCTTCTCAGGGGTCTTGGAGGCCGCTACGACACAAAAAACGAAGAGGCTAAACATACGTGCTTTCCTTTCTGGGAATTGGACGGTTATTGCCTCTTCTGGGGCTCTCGTGAAAACCTCTTGGGGCGTCTTTGGGCCTTTTGGGCTGTCTTGGGAGCCGTCTGGATATTTCTCAGGCCGTCTTGCGCTGCCGTGGGGCTCTCCTGTGCCTCTCCAGCCACTTCGCTGTTTGCTTTGAGCTTGTTGGCAAGGCCCAGCAAGGCGCCCAGGGAGGCGCCGCAGTGCTGGGGGGGCCTCTTGTAAGGGCCTCCAGGGGGCCCCCGATTTCCATATCCCGGAGTTTTTTTTGGAGGGGGGGCGCTTGTCCCGTCCCCTCTATACATAGATATAAAGAGGAATAGCTCTCTCTCTCTCTCTCTTTCTCTCTGTCTCTTTTTTTTTTCTCTCTCTCTCTCTCTCTCTCTCTCTCTCTCTCTCTCTCTCTTTCTCTCTCAGTATATACAGTAAGTTTTGCGTTTGTGTAGCAACTATGCTGTATACATACAACCTTGCATACGTACATTTACATACGCATGTGAAAAGCACAGGCACATACACTTGTACATATACACATACCTAAACATACACCTACACATGTACATGTACAACTATAGTCAGCTGCACATGCACATACATCGACATAACCACATTCACATACATATACACGTGGGCATACGTGTACATCCATATACACGTGCAGACATGCATACACACACATACATGCACACATACATACATCCATGCGCGCACACACACATATATACATACATAATATGCATACACACACGTACGTATGTATGTATGTATGCATGCATGCATGTATGCATGCATGTATGAACGTATGTATGTATAGGTATGTATTTCTGTACATAGAACGATCGACCGATCTATGCATATATATAACAATGTATATATCTATGTATCGGTCTATATATTTCCACACATATATATCTATATATCTATATATCTATCTATATATATATATATAGCTAGCTAGCTAGCTATCTATATATCTATCTATCTATATATCTATCTGTATGTATATATATCTATATAACTCTATATATCTATCTATCTATCTATCTATCTATCTATCTATATATCTATCTATCTATCTATCTATCTATATATCTATCTGTATATCTATATATCTATCTATCTATCTATCTATCTATATATCTATATATCTATCTATCTATCTATATATCTATATATCTATCTATCTATCTATCTATCTATCTATCTATCTATCTATCTATCTATCTATCCATCTATACACACAGTGCCCGCAAAGGCTTGGCAGGAGGACGCCTTCTCGCAGTGGCGAGGCCAGTGAGCCGGGCGGCCCCCCTCAGGAGGAGGAGGAGGAGGAAGAGGAGCAGGAGGAGGAGGAGGAGAGAGAGGAGGAGGAGGTCGCGGGG